AACCTAGAGACTGTTGAAAAGTAGTACATTTTGAAAGAAATAGTATAAGATCCAGTTCAATACAACCTGATCTACCTCCGGCGAAATCTACAATTTTTTACTACAACTACAGAGAATATAATTATATCTCTTCAAAATAACAATGTAGATATCCTCTTCAATTACAGAAATTATCTTTCTCCGAGCAAGTCCTTTTTTCGTTCCGTTGTGAAAGAAGAGGTTTTTCAAATAATAAAGTCTCTTAGTAATTCTAATTGTAGGAACTTTCACGTTCTAAAACGAAATTTTAAAGATTTTTAAACATTTTAAAAGAAGCTAACCAAATACTTTTATTACCTTTAACACATCTTATTAATTTAATTCTGATAACTGCAGTATTTCCCGAAGTGCTAAAATACTCAAAAGTACTACCTACTATCTACAAAAAAGGTGATTCCTCAAAAACTCACAATTGACAACCCATAAGTGTGTAGAATAGTACTTATTATCCATTACTTACGAACAAATCGCTGTAGATTACATCTTTCAGATAAAAATTGCCTTAATTATAACTATTACAATATTTTACCAAACAGTATTAAACAGTTAAGCTGTAATAGTTTCGAAAAAGTTATAAAAAAATATCTTCTGAATCATTGCTTTTATTGTTCAGAAGAATATATGAATCATTGGACAACATCCACTAAACTGCTAATCGTGACTTTGCCATACATCTTTTTCTGTTTATGTGCTCTTGTTTGTGGTTGAAAGAGTGTGTGTTGTTAAAGAAAGGTAATAGGTGGAAAAAAACCGAAATAGGAAGCTTAACTAGGAATTTAAAAAATCTCTCTAAAAGTGTAGTCTCTAAATAAAAACAGCATATCGCTGAGTAAGTAGAGTATGGGCCGATTGGGCCAGACATTGGCCAGAAAGTGTGACGTCACTGTCGGTAAGCATTGGATTACCGACCAACGCGTAACTTGGTAGCATGGTTTCGAACCTTTAGTTGTGACCGAAACCATATAAAGGAGGGGTAACGAATGCGTTAACACAAAAAACAAAGATAAGGGCGTAATGACAAAAGGACATTAAACTTATAACGTCTAAACACTAGCGTCTAGCCGTTGGTAGGTCAGGATAATCCTGACCAATCCAATCGCACTTGAGTATGTGTGTGGCGCGTCATTTAAATTATGTACATATTTGAATATAACAGAACAGTTCTCATTAACAGAACAAACAAGAAGTAATGTTTAGTTGTTTTAAATACACAGTTTTATTATTTTACATATTATAAATATACTATCTTATTGTGAGTTGGCAACAAGTGAGGGAGGGCTTGTCTGCTTGTCACTTATTAATATTATAGATCATAGTTGTTGTTATTTGTTATGTTGTTGTATAATAAAAATAATTACCACAATCAAATATCAGCAATAAACTGACGTTCAGATAGACTTGGAAATAACTGTCCAATATCAGTTTGATGTCCAATGTGTGGTTTTATAAATTTGACTTCAACTTTTTCTGCCAAATCAACCACAACCGTGAGACTGCTGGGCAAAATCCAACAATTTTTATACTGCCTTTTCTTTTTAAGTACCTTTTTCCTTTGCTTTCATAATTAAAGCAGCCTGACCGATGACAGAGAAACTTCATTGTTTTGTGAGTCTTTGCGAAAAAGTTCTCGACTTTAACGTATTTGGTTTTTGAACTACTTTCAATAAAACATTTCCACTCCTGAAAAGAGACTAAATTGGAAAATTGAAGTGTTTCACTTTCTAGGATTAGGTTGAAAATGAGAATGCAATTCTGCAACATAACTTGAAAAAAATTATACAAAGGACACTTCTTAGAATCTTTCTTGATTTTGCTAGATATCTTCCGTTGAAGTTCTACAACATTTTTATGAGTTTCTGTGTATTCAAAACAATTAAACATAACTCCTTATTTGTGTGAACAATCTAAGAACGTTTCGTGATATGAGAAATGAGAACTGTTACATTCAAACCTGTACATAATTTGAATGACGTGCTACACACAAAATCAAGTGCGATTGGATTGGTCAGGATTATACTGACCTGTCAACGGCTAGACGGTAGTCGTCTAAACGGCTCAACGTACAACAACGTGCAAGGTATCGATGGAAAGGCGAGGTGGTAACGAATATCCACAAGGAAAACAATTCCTGTAGCTGGCTGTATACCACGTATCACGTATCTTTTTTTTTGTAACGAATATGTTAAAATAAAAATCAGACGCAAAGACTGTGCTAAAACGGCACTATAGGATCCTGGACACACATATAAAAAACATGTAAACATTTGAGTCAACCTTGAATGAAAATTCAATACAAATTAAATGAGTCAATTCTTTGTTAGAAATGATACAGTCTAGCATGGGCTGAGCTATTCTAAATAAAATTCCAATGACTACCACATTCAAAAAGTGTTTTTCTTTTGTTGTGAAATAAAATACCAAAATGTTACGTATTGTTTTATTAAAAAAATTATAATAGATCTAGCAATTTTAAAATAGTTTCTCTTTGCAATTCGGCTTTTTTATTTAAACCTAAATTCATTAGTTCAGCAATTACATTACGTTTGTTAACCATTTTTTCTTTGTATGATTTTCGAATCGCAATCCCACGTTCAGTTTTGTAAAATTTTCTTCTCTTTTCATTTGCTTTATCTTTTTTTTTCTAATACCTCCCTCACCTCTTTTACACTTGCAGGTTGATTTTAGGTGCAGTTCATGCCCTGGTGTATATTTTTCTAAATTGTTAACGCCTCTGCTCGCTAGGTTAGAAATTTCATTACGTATACCTCACACAGAATTTTCCTCTCAAATGCAACCATTCTGATTTAAATACTCTTCTCTTGCAATGTATCTCTGTATTACACCAACACAATAATCCAAACAAATAATTTTTCTAAATGTAGTTTCTAAGGTTAGTTTCTAAATAACATCGGCAAATGGAATACCATTTTACATTAGAAGCACATACTAGAACAGTAAAAGTCACTCCTATTTAAGAGTAAATGATACCATTCTCTTGGTGACTCTTCATAATCATTTGCCATATCCTCTGGCGAAAAAGCATTAATGTAATTAACACCTTAAAGAGCCAGATCTACACTTTTTGACAAAATAGACATATTTTAACTGAAGCTTAAGAACAAAGAACTGAACTCTCAAAACTGTCTCACTAGACTAAAAGAGTCCTTACGAAGTCGTTGAATTTATATCTACGATGGTTAATGTGTTAGGTTAGGTAGTGCCGCGAAGCGACGTATTACAGATGGCTCTGTGTGTCTCTGCATGTCTCTGCGTACTTCGGTCTACGTGTCAAAGATGGTCTCTGAGTGACTGAAACAAAGAGAAGGACTATGACTGAGTATAAAATAAAGTAATAAAAAAGCGATAAAACCGATGAAAACCGATCGTTTTCAACGTTTTACATCGCTTTTTTTTTAATTTTATAAAAAAATGTCTATTTGTCAATGATTTTACATGTCTTTATATGGGATGAACAAGTGCATAAAGCGATAAAAAGCGATGAAAACCGACAAATGAACCAATTTTCTCCAGAAATTTGTAGAACTAATATTTTAAGAACAAATAAATTCAAACTTATGTATAGTTGGTTGGCTATCAATACCCACAAAATTTCACTGTACATCTACCAACAGTCTACCAACATTAATTTATAAAACAATTTTTTGAATGTTCTCAACCTAAATATAGGACAAATTCACATTACAAACTACAACATTGATAGTTGCTACTGTTATATTATTATAATTTTAACCTAATTAATTTTAAAAATTGCTGGCCTCTGTCATGTTTAGACAACTACCGTAAGTTTCACTGACTGCTTTGTTCCGACATCCGTCCTAACATGTCAATATTGTCATTTTAATCAGTTGCTATTAACAGGTCCACGTAGACACTTGGTCTCAGGACCCAGTAACCTTATGTAGAGATATCCGTCGCCATGTTTCCAATTCCACTGGTAACTTTAACATCTTAACTTTTAAGAACATATAATGTAACAAAAATTTAAATTAACAACATTTAACGGGCTTTTACCCATGTATTTTAGTGGCTCAAAGCATGTATACTTCGTAAGTATTAACCAAATTTGGCATTAACCTTAGTCAACATTTCAAATTTTACGTTCTTTTTAATTAAAGTGGTTACATACTTTCAGGTTACACTGATGATGGAATTTACATTCCGAAAACGTTCTGTAATCGTGATATAGCCCGTTTGGGTATTTTATTATATACTTTTTATAAAGGATTTTAAATAAAAAAAAATTGTGTGATACATGGTATACAGCCAGCTACAGGAACTTAGTTTTCTAGTGAACTTTTCAATGTTTATGTTAGGTCCTAAATTTAAGGTCCATTCGGTAACTACAGTCAGAACCTGTTGCATTATCTTTCTGGCTGTCCCATTAAATTTGCCGTGGTCTAAAATGGCGTGGGCTTTTGAAATAAAACTTGTCTTTCGTAATTTTTATGTTTTCTATTATTGTACTTTAATAATATAACCTTGTATAAAATTTAAAAACTTAGAACGCAAAAATATGTTTATTTCTTTACATACATATATATCTTTTTGATCAATTTCGTTATATATTATGTTGTCTGTTATTAAGTTTCCATTTAAAGTACCTGTCTTATGATATTTTCAAGTGCACACAGACTGCTATTGTATTAATTATTTGCAAAATCTGTATTTTATATACCATATTTTGTAAACTATTTTATGTTAATTGTAGTATTTATTTAAAGTGAAGTTTCCAATGTTAATCAGACATCGATATCATAAAACTACTTTTATTGAAATAGCTGCAATAATAAGTGTAAAACATTAAATAAAATTTAAATTCGCCGTAACAGTAAAATTTATTTAAGAACACTAATCGCCGCAATATACGATGAATATCGTGGTACGTAAGTGCGAAAATGAACTGCCACGGACTCCATAAATTCTCAATATGGTTTCCTTACCTGCCGTTAAAATGAAAACTGAAGGCATTATCACAATTTATTTGACATTCTCAAGAATTTACCCTTTGACTCCTGTCTTTTCAATAAGATTAAACTTCGAGGCGTTTATACGGCGCACAATTTCAGTAAACCGCTTACAACCACTTACTAGATCGTACATAAATAGTAAGAAAACCAATAGTTCTAAATCTGATCTCATCAGGTGGTAAGAGGAAAGCAGTCAGTGAAATATATCTAGTTAAAATTATCTGTAGATGCCGATGAGACCGCCACTGAGCGCCATTTGCAAAGAATGGCAGTAACTAATGCCCTCTTGCGGTAGTAAACTACAAATAATTGTTGGAGATAAGATAGAGCGGCTGTGAAGGTGCCACTTTGTGATTTACATACGATTCATGATTCTGTGGACCTATGCCGACTAACTTAAAACGCAGGAGTGGATTACCAATTTTTTTAAAACACTTAAGTACAGAAAATAAAGAATTATGGTAATACGTAAATAGTTTAGCATCCGTCAAATTTTTTAATAAAATAAAATGTCTAGTCTATTAGTAGGTTGGCAAAGGTACTTTAAGCAAAATTTAAAATAAATTAACTATACGAAGGGTCTCCTATAGTTATGTCCAAATGTTGATAATATAATATAGGTTTACTTATAATACAAAAAATAAAGTAACAGGTCCATTGTCAGCCCGTTTCTAAATTACGTATTAGTCAAGTTACAGTTACCATTAGATTGAACTCTAGTTTTGTCAAAGTGACATTCAGTTTTGGTAACGGAAACGTCAAATATACGTTTATTTTTTTATTAGTAATAATTCTGGTTTTATTCGCAAAAAAACAAAATAAAGAAATTGATATTTCAAGTTAGGAAAATAGTAACCTTTACAATTGAACATAAAATTCAAATTATTAAATGGCATTATTCTGGATGTAGTAATGACGATATAATCGGTAGGTTTTCGTTTCCATTCGATGGCCCTGTACCAACAAAATCTATAATTCACTACATTATTTTTAAATTTGAAAAAACAGGTTGTGTCAAGAACTGTAGAAAATGCATGGATAGTGATGAAGACGAAAATCAGCTCGTGCAATTAATGAAGAACAGGAACAGCGTGAAAATGCCCCATGTAATATAGCTGAAATCAATTCTTCTTGTAACAGCACCCTAATTTTAAAAGAAACATGTATTGGCGGTAGAGCTATATAAAATATTTTAAAAAGAAACAGGTACCATTCCTACAAATTGCAAAAAACTTGCATAATCAAAAAATTGAAAATTTTCTGATTATAAACGACGGATAATGTTTTAAAACATGATGGAGAGTGTGTCTTCTTTTTCTTGAACTGGCCATTACAATCCTTTTGTTACACTACAGAAAATACGCACATAAGTGTTCCTTACAAAACACAATACCGTCAAAAAGTCAACGTCTGGACTGGTATTTTAGGTGACAACGTAATTGATCATTTTTTCATTGTATGCACTTTGTGTCGTAGTAAAAACCTAGATCTCCTGATAAATTACATAATTTCAGCAGTTCAAACATTACGTATTAATATGGATGAAATTTGGTTGCAGCAAGACAAGCAACTATCCAGCTAATGCATAGTGGATCTATCCACTATCTATCCACACTATACATAGATAGTAGTCTATATATATATATATATATATATATATATATATATATATATAACTTACCAAAACGTAAAACGTGACACAGACATTAACGAACTGACATATAAAAGTTGATATCTGATATCTCATTGTTTACTGTCATTAGTATATAATTATTTTTATATGGGCGTATCGTTGATGTTTTCGAAAAAGGTAAGGTGGAGATATGTTATGATTTTAAGAGTTTTTTATGATGTTATATTATTATTGTTTAAATCAGATTGAAATATATTTTATTTAGGTTTTGTGTGTCTTTTTTGTCATTTATTGCGTTGGTGTTTCTTTTTATTTCTATTGATTCGTATATTTCCCTCTTCTTTTTGTTTTTTTCTGTTTTTAAAATTTTGGGGTTTTCAAAATCAAATATATGCTTCTTCCCGCTTTCATGTTTTGTGAGCGCAGTGACGTTGTTCTTGTCGTATTTGTGAGAACGAATTCTGGATTGAAGCAGTTGACTGGTTTGACCGATATAGACACCTTCACAGTTAGTACATGGTATCTCGTATTTTTTAAGTTTTGTAGTTTGTGTTTTTAGTTTTGTGAAATATTTATTTATGAGGTTGTTGCCTTTGTGGGCCACTGTTATATTATGTTTGGCTAAACGATTTCTTAGTTGTTCGGATAAACCTTTTATATATGGAAGAGTTGTATAAGTGGTTTTGATACTGTTGGGTTTGTTGTTAGTTGTATTGTTATAAAATTTATTGAGTCTTGATTTGAAAATAGTTTCGATTAGATGTTCGGGATATGCATTCTTAGGAGGGCATTTTTTGCTTTTTTTATTGCAGTTGGTCTGTATTCTGGATCTGTTAGTTTTATAGATTTATCAGCGAGACTTATAATTACCGACTTCTTATGGGAAAATGGATGATGGGAATTGTAGTTAAGATATCGTGAAGACCATGTTTCTGTTGTAAACCACATGGTTTTAACTGTATTGTTAATGCGATGTAAGGTGATATCCAGAAAGTTTATTTTATTATTTTGTTCAATTTCTATAGTGAACTTTAATTTTAGATGATAACAACTGTTGTTCGCTTGTTTTATTTGTTGGAATAGCACAGACACAGTCATCGATATAGCGGTAGAAAAATGGTACACTAAAATCTAAATGACTCATGACAGATTCTTCCAAGTCTTCCAGAACCAGTTGGGCAATGACACTAGAAATACTTGCACCCATAGCGCATCCATCCATTTGTTGGTATATTTCGTCCTTATCTAAAAAGTATGTTGAGTTTAACGTTAACTCTACAGATGATTGGAATTTTTGCAATGGGATGTTAGTGTATTCTTTTATGTCATTTCACTTCTGTTTAATGATGTCAGTGGCAAGTTTTATTGGGATGTTAGTGTATAGTGAAATGACATCTAAAGAGATTAATTTATAGTTATCCGGTACGTGAATGTTTTTAATTTTAGAAATAAGATCATTGGAATCTTTAATATAATAAGGATTTTTATTTATGACATAAGAGATAATGTTTTTCAAGAACTTTGAAAGATTTTCGAAGGGAGATTGAATGCAGAAAACAATAGGACGTAGAGGTATGTTCTCCTTGTGTGTTTTAGGTAAACCATAAATTTTTGGTGGAATAGCGATATGTATCTTAAGTGATTTTGCTGTATTTGGTGATATATATCCACTTTTGTCCCATCTGTCAATAAGAGCATTATTTCTTTTTTGGAAGATATTGGTAGGATCATTTCTAAGTTTATAATATATGGTGTTATCTTTTAAAAGATCATTCATTTTATTGTCATAATAATTAGATTCCATAATAACGGTTTTGTTAGTTTTATCAGGCTTTAATACAACTACGTTATGATTTTCCCTCAAAAAGGCTTTTGTCATTTGAATTTTTTTATGTAATTCCTTATTTTCAAATGAATATTTATTTTTGTTTCTAAAATTGGATAAGATATTACAGCACTTTGTTCTTATTTGATGTTGTGAAGTTTCATTTAAATTAGAAATTGAATTTTCAATCGAACATATAATATCAGATACAGGAATTTCGTTTTTATTATGAATAGGAACCGCAAAGTTGTCTCCTAAACTTACAATCTCCTGTACGTCGTTAGGTATTTCGACGGTAGTTAAATTTTCGACCCAAGATCTCTCTAATTTATTTTCAGTATCATTTGATTTTAAAAGTAATTTATTAATCTTTTTGGTGTTCCTATTTTTAGTTTGGTTAAAAATATATTCACTTTGTTTTAAACACATATTCCTTAATGTATTAAAAATATCTGATGGTAATATATTGATTAAATTTGATTCATTTTTATTGAGTTGACAGTTTAGCTTTTTTAATGAGATAACAGTATCAGTGATTAGTAAATTTAAAACTTGTTTCACAAACAAATTAAAAACATTTGTCTCGAATTTACGTGTAAGGTTTACAGAATTAAAATTGATATGGCTTATATTTATGTTTAAAAAGTTTGGTAGTAAATTACAAGTTTTACAGCGCAAAAGAAATATATATATATATATATATATATATATATATATATATATATATATATATATATATCTATATATATATATATATATATATATATATATATATATATATATATATATATATATATATATAAATTATGATTTTTGAGGATGCAGTCAGTTTATTTGGCCCACAAGACAAAGAAAACTCTTTGACTTACTGTCAAGCTTTCGAATTATATTTAATTCTTTTTCAAGACATCTATAAAAAATATAAATTAACTAGTTAAAATTGTTAATTGTCTTACTTACTAGTCGTGAGATTACAGTTGTAATAAAATATATATATATATATATCCGGTTTTTTAGGCGTTACGCCTGTCCGGTAGGGATCTATGGAGGAGTATCACCGAGCCGCAAGCCCTTATCTCTTGCCGTACTGCTCCACCATAGGCCGATCAGATCCCAGCATATCCTAGTCTAAGCCGCAGATTCATCTAGAATTTTAAACTGCTGCGTTAGACTTTTTGTTTTCTGTACACCGAGCTTGGGCTCGATCCCACATCCACTAAACCATTCGACAGTGAAGCGAATGAGAGGCAGCCGCACAGCCCGCTGAGCTATCTGACCGACTAATAAAATATATAAATAATTAAATATCAATAAATACCGTCAAGATCTCATTTTCTATAGACATCCTAACATTAAAAATTCATATATGCTTAAGCCAAACTGCTGACTGGATTAATTTATATTTTTTATAGACAATTAAATAAATTATAATAAAAACTATTGTTACTGGTTTTGCTTTCCACATAAAGTAACTGTATTTTCATTCATATATGTCCATTAATCAAACCATGACAATGACATATATAGTGACAATATAGTTATT